TTAGTAGTTCTCGTTTAAATTTATATGTTAATGCGTTTTAAACATATTACTATAATATCGATAAGTAAACCGTGGATTAAAACCGAACCAAACCGCAAATAATGGTTTGGTTTGGTTTGGTTTGTAAAATAAAATGGTTTGGTTTGGTTTGGAAAAATTCCAAACCGCATTAAATGGTTTGAGTTGAAAATATACCCCAGACCGTCCAAACCGAACTGTGTTCACCCCTAATATCAACATTTAAATTTAAATTTTCTATCTCTTATGTGAGCGCCAGTAATGACTATATTTTTCATTCTCATTCTACAATAATTTGGCTCAAACAGGGCCTAAACATGGTTGGGTGGCATTTTCATAAAAGTTGAAGTAGTAAATTCACAATAGTGTTCAAGAAATCTAGCACCTGTTTGATAGCCTTTCCCCTTTTTTTTTTTTTTTTTAAGTGGAGTTTCAAATAGTGATTTTTTGAAAATTGTGTGGTAAAAATAAGTGTAAGAATTAAAGAATTTTAAAATAATGATTGTAAATATGAGTGTCAATTTGGCTCGACTTAGCCCAGAAAAGCAAGGCTCTGGCTCGGGCCATTTTTAGCTCGTGACGAGCTAGCTTTAAAAAAATTAAGATAAATAATAAAAAACCAGCGGTGCACTCAACTACACGTGCCTTGCAGGCAACTAAGTGTATATATATTAAAAAAAGAAGCTTGAGCCGGCTCGACTCGATAAGGCCCGAGCCCAAAATTAGGATCGAGCTTAGATTTTTTGGTCGAGCAAAAGTTCGTCTCGGGCCAAAAAAAGCTCTAACCATTTTTACTTGAGTGGAGCCTAAATCTCGAGTTTCGGCTCTACTTGTTGACATCCCTAATTGTTAGTTGTCATATAAACAGAGACATGATATTAAAGAGACTCCAAAATTAGAGTCATGTAATTACCTCATATTTAATGTTGTTTCACACTTTTTAATTTATTTAAGAGTAATGCTTATTCATCCCCACTGGGGATGAATAACACAGTTTACGTGACGTCAATGTGACATTAAATGATAGGTGAAGTTAAATAAGTTATTTAATTTCACATTTCGTTTAACCTATCATTTAAAGCCACATAGACTGTGTTTGCATCCCCACTGAGGATAAATAACATTACTCTTTATTTAATGGTTTGTTATATGGTTATTTTCAACCACACATTCACACAGTAAAATATCTTATATGCATACTAAAAAGTTTTTTCTACGTTTTAACCATACTTTTTTCTAAAAATCACTATTTAAAACTCTTTTTCTTTACCAAAATGGTTGTCAAACATGCACCTAGAATAAATTCGTAAATTGATTAGTGCTTT